TGCTTTAAGTCCACTAGATAGTGGCAAAACCGTCTTTTCTAAGCCCACCCGAGGGTGGCAAAATCTGCATTTTAAGCCTACTTGAGAGTAGCAAACCATCTTTCAAAAACAAACATGAAATGTTTTGTTCCAATTCGGGCGACCCAGTCTATACTTATATGCTGTGTGCATCACATAGTAACCTAGGCTAGTAACCGGAATAAGAACATACAATGTTTTCAAAAATTGATATCGTGGTTAGTAGAGGCCGATCTTTGATCGGGCGAGCGGGGGTGCTCACGAAGTGACCTTCCCCAATCGTACCCAAGTTCCCGAGCCGAGGCAACTTTGGTGATGACGGACACGTGGCCTTTTGGCACCGAGTCAGGGTTTCCTAAATTTCCCAAAATAAAATATTTAGGTGGCGACTCTGTATCTGGCAAAGCAGTCCATGTTTGGCACTTCTTTTCAAAATCTGTTTTCTCAAAACGATTTGCCGGATTTGGACTCTTTGGTTCAGACTTAGAACCGTGACAACGAAATCGAGTCCGAGCTGTAGCGAGGTCCCCCGCGGGCTTGTCTACAGGCGAAAATGCAAAACAGCCCCCGAACCTCTGTTTTAACATAATGGGAAGCTTTCCGGTGACAAATGTGACATGTAGGGACAGACGATACGTAAATAGGACACCTACGTTGGGAGTTAGAGTTGAAATTATCAATTATTTTAGTCGGAAAAAGGCGTTTGGGGGGGCAAAAATGCAAAACAGCCCCCGAATCTCTGTTTTAACATAATGGGAAGCTTCCCGGTGACAAATGTGACATGTAGGGAGAGACGGTACGTAAATAGGACACCTACGTTGGGAGTTAGAATTGAAAATGTCATTTACTGTAGTCGAAAAAAGGGGTTTGGGGGGCAACAAAACAAAACAGCCCCCGAACCTCTGTTTTTACGTAACGGGAAGCTTCCTGGTGACAAATGTGACATGTAGAGACAGACGGTACTTACATAGGATGCCTATGTAGGAGTTAGAGTAAAAAATGTCATAACAATAGTCGGAAAAAGCGTTTGGGGGGCGACAATGTGTTTATGTGGTTGAACATGAAATGTCCATGTCGTGGGTAACTGTTTTGGTAATACCATCTTAAATTATAGTTTGTTTAACTCTTTTTTTATTAGTTTATGTATGGTAATATTTTTGGTAAATTGTTTACTGCTTTTGTTGACTGTGGCCCTTTTAATTGCCATAAACAAGATATCTTTTGGCATTAATTCATAGAATCGATGCTCGTCTACCAGTCCATGTTTGGGTGTCTTTCATTAGTTAAATGCTATTACTCGCCTTGTCCATAAGTGTCTCTATAGGCACCGAACTAATGATTTTTTTTTTTTTTTTTTTTAACAGATGGTTTTGGACATACAACTGTGGATATGATTTTTTTTTGACAAGTACGGGAGAGCATTGTTTTTATACCTCTATTTGTATATATAGTGGTTCAACTAAATTACTTTTTTAGTGTGGTAAATATCAACTAATTTGGCATGGTAGAAATTAGCATACCATGCGGTACAAAATAGTTTTGGGGTAGTACAGATGAAATTTTTGTTGTGGTATACATATGTCCTTTTTGTTAATTAAATTGGTTATTCTTGTATTATGTATGGAATTAAATTATTGACGTTGTCTTAGACTTGGTTCGTATGGAATTTGTATTATATATAGAATTGGACGTTCAATATTAATTTTTTGGATGGTTGGAACTGAAATGAGTGCATGTTGTTGAATGCTTGAATGCAGGTTGATAACCATATGGTTGATAATATATTTAGCGTTGATGGATTATATTGTTTATACAGGTTACAGGTTCTACTAATAATGGGTACAGGTTGTTTAGAAATTTTAAATAAATAAAAAAAAGTATTTGGCCACCAAATATTTTGGTAGCCAAATATGTAATTAAATGTTTTGGCAACGAGAAATTTAGTAGCAAAAACATAACCCAAAAACTTTTTGGTACCAAATATTTAGTACCTAAAACCATGAAAAAGAAACTATTGGCCACTAAATTATTTAGTCACGGAAAAAAAAAATGGTATCATTGAGCCACTAAAACATTTGGTGGCAAAAAGTGAAGAAGTGAAATTGAAGAGGTTTTGGCTACGATAAATTTTAGTCGGCAAAAGTTACAACGACAAAATTACGTGGTCGTGAAAAATATGTATTGTATTGGTGACCAAAATATTTAGTTCGTAATAGTTAGTCAAAATTTTACGATAGAACTTTTAGTGACTAACATTTTACTCGCCAAAATGTCACCTTTGTCGACTGACTACAATTCGTAACCAAATGTTCACTTTCCGTGACGAATTCTTTAGTAGCAAGAAGTAACACCTTCCCCGACCACACGAACTTTAGTAGCCAAAAGTCATATTCGGCGACTAACGATTTTAGTGGCGGAAAGATAACATTTGCCGACTAAAACAAATTTAGTAGGCAAATGTTTCACTTTCGGCGACTAAAAAAAGTTTAGTCGCCAATGCTATCGCCGACAGGGTATAGGCGACGAAATTGGCGACACAACATTTTAGTCGGCAAATGGTTTCAGCGACCAAATATTGGACTTTTGGCGACCAATATTTTAGTAGCCAAAAGTGACATTTCTTTTAGTAGCTAATTGGTATACCTATAGGCATGGCAAAGATTTGATGTTCAATCCTTCCTCGTTCTCCGATTTCAACCATTGCAATGACACTAGGCCACCACATCAACGTCCCAGATTTCAAATTTTGATTCACAAACTGGAGAGAGAGAGAGAGAGAGAGAGAGAGAGAGAGAGAGAGAGAGAGAGAGAGCATTATGTTGTTGTTTGGTGGGTTATTTTTTTGTTTTCGTGGGGGCCGCAGAGGAACAAACATATGGTGAGCACTGAGCATAGATTCTCTTTCATTCATAAAGAAAGAAAGATCTTCTGCCAAGCTTTTTACAGTATATAAAGAGGAGAGAGAGAGAGAAGAGTTGTTGTCAAATTTTGGAGATGCCGTGCCTAGTAGACGATGAAATGGCCAAACCACTGCAGTCGTTGTCATAGCTTTTAAGCTTTAAAAATGGTAGTTTTTATTTTAATAATTTTTTCCTAATTTATAATTTTTTTAAAAGGAAATTACAAAAAAAATAATAACAAATCTTCAGTTTAACCCCTGTAACAAAAAATTTTGAATTTTCGTTTTGTTAAATTAAATCCTAATTTGTTAATTTATTTTTAATTTAAATAATTTGCTTCATCAATAAAAAAAAAGCGTATTTAAATCATTAAATTTAACAAAAATAATATTTTAAATATTTTATGTACACTTATATTGAGTTTAATAGGTTAAATATTCTTTTTTCATCGATTTTACTTGACAAAAATAAATGAATGGTTTAAATTAAAAATAAATCCAAATATTAATATTTAAATTGATGAAATTAAAAAATATATTTTATTATAAGAGTCAAATCGTGAACTTTTTTATATAATTTCTCATATTTTTAATATGGTCTAATATAAACATATTTAAAGTCTTACGCAAGTGGTTGTTTCAAAACCCTTGAACGAAGCAGTTGTATTCGGACCCTAGGTGATTTTTGTGTGATAAGGGAATGGGCAAGGCTCTATTTTACCGTCTCTTTTGAGGTCATCGGTTGGCGCTACATGTTATGTAACAGTTGGTAGGAATCCCAGGTAAGGTCTGCAAAGTAGCAAACGAGGGGGCATGCCAAATAATCCGTATTTGATTCTCGTGGTTGGGAGGATGAAACTCTTTAGGGGATTTCTAGACTACTAGCAACTAACCATATAACCTTTGTTATTTACTTGAATATCATGTTTCTTTCTCCTATTGTGTATTAGATTGTGAAAAAGGGACAGGATGTGTGTGCATTTACTAAGCATTCAAAGTTCATGGCGTTTCATGCCAGGTACCAAAGAGGATTTTGCAACAGAAAACGTTGAGCCGAAAACTTTCAAAGACTTTTGATTGCCATAGAGAAGCTAGAATTTTTTTGTTTTGTAAAGTCCATCTGAATTTTTTTTTTTTTTTTTTGAGTGTAATATCGATGGAACTATCTTTTGTAACTAAGGATATGTTGTATCTATTATCTTATTATTATATGCTTGTCTTTTTAAAAACCAATATAGTTCCCCTACCTCTTAAGATCTGTCAAAATGGTAGCCTTGCAACCTAAGAAAGTTGGACTTAGAAGGAAAGTTAATTTGACTCCTCCGGCAATCTGAAATCTTACTTGGTCATTGACTATAAGACTCATTAGTGACTTTCCTTTGACTACAACCCTTAGTGTAGATTTTGGGGCGTCACAAAAAGTTCCAAATCTAAACACAATTGATGAATAAAGTTTCACTATACAATCATTTTCATATTTTGACTTGCAAATTAAAGCCTTACCCAACAAATACAATTAACTCTACATTTTAATATTATAAGACCTCAATTCTCAACATGCTTACAAAAATGTCAACATTATCGAGCTTTTAACTCTGTGATGGTAACTTCATTGGTTGAACACATTACATTCTTGCTTTCGGATGATGAATCTACTTCTTGTGGACTCTCTTCCCCGAAAAATGTTGGTTGTTTAGGTCGAGGCATCGCGCCCTCACCACCCAACATCATTGTCACAGTTGACATGCTCGGCCTATCTTCTCGATATTGTTGTATGCATAGTAGTCCGACATGAATTGATCTTAGCACTTCACATTCAAACCATGATCCCCTTACTAATTCATAAACTAATTCCAATGGCCTTCATTCTATGTACAGTTTCCATGCCTAAACAAATTCGCAATTATTTTTCAATTATTTTAAAATAGTGTCATGTTTCTCTCCAGAGTATCCCTGTCTAGTGACAAGTTGTGAGAGGCCTATAGTCCACGTTATACCTGAGTTCGTTATGGAGTTTACAAGCCTCTCACAACTAGTGTAGTGAAGAGAAGCACGTTCTTTTATAATATAGGGTTGGCAATAATTATTGAAGACTTACATGGCCAAGAAGGTTAAGGTGGTGATCTGGATGATGAAATTCTCGATTCCTTTTTCCACTCAATATCTCTAGCACCAATACCCTAAAGCTAAACTCATCGGATTTTACAGAGTAGACACCGTGAATTACATATTCTGGAGAAATGTAACCACTGCACACCAACAAAAAAAAAAAAGAAAAAGAAAAAGAAAGATTAATTATAAATGATTAAATATAAGTGGAGTATTTTTTGTAAGCAACATTCTTAAATATGCTTACTGTGTTCCAACCACTTCATTTGTTTTTGCTTCAGTTTCATTGCCATCGAAACTTTTAGTAATTCCAAAGTCTGAAATCTTTGGGTTCATCTCATTATCTAATAAGATATTATCAGCTTTTAGATCTCTATAAATAATTCTCAATCTAGAATCCTGATGAAGATAAAGAAGTCCTCGTGCAATCCCAACAATAATATTGAAGCGTTTAGGCCAATCTAACAACATGCTACGCTTCTGATCTGCCAAATTTTTTTAACAAAATATATCATGATTCTAGTTGTTCATGATGCTAGTTAGGAATGGAATAGACAAGGATTAGATTAATAAAATTGTTGAAACTATATATATATAAATAAGGGTTTTAAGATATTCAAACCGAAAATAAAGTAGTCCAAGCTTTTGTTAGACATGTATTCATAGATCAACAATTTCTCTTCTACTTCAATGCAACATCCAAGGAGTTTCACAAGATTTCGGTGTTGAAGTTTGGCAATATAAATAACTTCATTCTTGAATTTGTCAAGTCCTTGTCTTGAATTTTCAGAAAGCCTCTTCACAGCTATTTCTTGTCCTTCCATCAATATTCTCTGAAAATGAGTATTCTGTCACTTTGATTCTAAGAATTAGGCCGCATATAAATTGTAATTTTACCTTGTAGACTGGTCCAAATCCACCCTCTCCGATCTTATTATCTTCTGAAAAGTTTTTGGTTGCATTGGCGATTGTAGCCAATTCAAAGAGTGGTAACTCAAACTCCTGGTTCTCCTCTGCATATATACAAGCCGTTGGAGAAGATATATATAATAAATAAATAAATAAATAACTATCCTTCCATCTTTCTTTCTGTTATTCTTTTTTTTCTTTTTGTTTTTTGCATAATTTTATTGTAATTTTTATCATAAAAAAACATGTCAGCAAATAAGATAATTTAATGACCTAAATTTAAAATTAAAATAAAATATCATTAAAATATTCTCTTTTTATTTTAAACTAAAAACCTAAAATAATGTCATTTTGGTATAATTTTAAATTTTGATCGTTAAAATACCACAATGAAATTATTGCAGAGAAAATTATAGAAGATCATAAACCAACTATATTTTGTTCTATTCTATTACGGAAACAACGATGCTTACATAGAAAAAGCCTAGAAAATTATCTAAGAAAATGAAATATATTTACCATATTATCACATCACATTTAAATGAGAAAACCAAATAAGAAATGAGTGAGTAACTAAAATTAAATCAAATGAGAAAGTAAAGAGAAGTAGAGAAAATAAAAGACTTGCCTTGTTTTCTATGCTTCTTGCAAACCCCAAAAAACCAGAGATAGACCAAGAAGTAGAATACCCACAAATGTTACAGAGGCAGCTATGACCCTCTTTTGTTTATTTGGACTGGAGCGTTCATGATGTGTTGTCAAACCATCTTCACAAACATACAATTTGCCCAATTATAAGCAAGAAAACACTCAGATAATTACAGCACCTAATTTTTTTTAAAGAAAGTGTTAATAACAAAATAAATAAATAAAACCCTATAACATAGATTAAAAATAAAATCAATCATCTGTATAAAACACTCGTCCTATTTTGTGCACATTGCCATACAAATAGCATAGTTGCATGAGAACTGGGGCCCTATTGTGCCATTGTCACAGCAGATCCTACTGTAAGTAACCCATTCTTGGTCGGTCAAGATGATCTGAAATATTGATTTTGTAGGATTTGTCAAGTAAGTCATTTATGCAAAATAAAAAGAATTAATCCGACAACATTAGTTCCATAATCTTATCACATTAGCCGTTCAATATTTTTAAGACAAATATGTTTCAACATATAAGTGTTTTAAAGACTCAAAAGTAAAAAATTTATTGCAAAAAATATTTTGGATCAATTCTTACCGTTAGGAGGGTTGTCGCTAAGAAGCCATCACTAAAAGTTGAAAAAAGAAAAAAGACTTATTGTAACAAAATTTTAAAAATGTCGCTAATAAATGTAATAACAATTTGGTGTCAAAAAAATTTACTGAGACAAAAGATTTTGTTTCAAAAAGATAATAATTCATCACTAAGTATCTAATTTCGTGGCTAAAAACGCAATTAAAATATTTCGATCCTAAAAAATGATTTTGTTTCTAAATTTTTGTTTTTAAAACTTTAATTTTCTGTAGTGATGTTCATATCTCATCTATCTTCTTTTTTTTCCCCCATAAATAATCCATTAAGTGTGTTTTGCAAAATAAATTATTCAAATTATCTTAATATTTTTTAGGATATTCTAATCGAGTAAAACTTTAAAAAAATTAAAAATTTTGGGACATGACTCTCCACATCCTCATATCCCAATGCTTCTAGTTTAACATTAGATGGATAAATTTTTGGATACCTATTTCTGAAGCAGCCATACGTTTGTATATAATCTGTCCATTTCCGTCAAACTCCCTCAAATCAATTAAATCTGTCCATTTTCGTCAAACTCCCTCAAATCAATTAAATCCCCAAACCAAACCAAACCAAACACCTAGTTCGCTTTCCTCTGATATCCAAGCTCGTATAACCCATACAAGAACAGTTCTTCAAGCAAACTGTCCTGCACTCAACAAGGCTCATACTCTCATTGAACCATGACTCTCTTGTGTCCGGCAATTTCACCCCACTGTACTTCACAAACCCATCGCTCGAGCACTCCAAAGCCACCGCTCGATCGCACCCTCCTGACCAATCCGCACCCTCCCAATCCCTCGGAAGCCTCGGCTTGAACCCATCCAAACACCAACACAGCGGCGACCGGTTTATTATATAGTTACTGTAGGGCCCACATAGCCCATAACTGTCGCAGTTGTCGGTTTGCGCAGACGAGTAGAGGACCCACCCATGGGTCCGCTCGACCCACGTGAACCGCTGGACTAGCCCGTTTGGACTTAACACCTACCGAGTGAAAACTGAGTTGTTCACGAGGTGGAACTGGAAGTACATCTCTTTATTGGAAATAAACCCGTATGTGTAAACCGAGTTAGGGTTTAACATTGGTAACCCGCTGAACCGGAGCCCGTTCCATGGATCAGACCGGAACTTTACTATAAACCCGGTTCTCACAGTCAGCTGGGGATATCCAGTGGGGTCCAACCGGTATGTGAAGTTTCCTGGAGAAGGATCGTCAGTATTTCTCCAGGGTACCAGTCTAACCCAGATAGAAAATTCTTCCCTAATTTCATTCCGGGCGGAAAAGTCGCTGTAGGATAATCAAAACTCTGCCATAAAATATTTTCGGGTTGATCTTCGTCTCGCACGACAAGATTTCCATTGTCAAACAACTGCGCCACTGCATTCTGAACTGTTGTCGATGAATTCGAGGACCAAATGACATTTCCAGTGCTATTGAGAAGAACCAGAATTCCTGGATTTGTGATTTTTGGAACACCGAGTGAATCGGTGAGCGGCCAAGCTCTGTTTGCGACCCAGGCGATTGTTCCGGTTGAGATTTTCCTGTACCAGATTGCCAAGTAGTTGTTGGAGTTCCCGGGAGTGAAGAAGCCGAGCTCGAAGTTTTTGTCGGATGAAACAATGGTGTCGGTTACTCCAATTGTTTGATTTGCAGTAATGGTGTCCGTCATGGCGTTGGAGTATTAATATGGAGAAGAAGAAGGAAGAGATGTGAAGAATTGTGGCAAAAAAGCATCCCATTGATGGCCTCTTTGTCTTGTTTTTCTTTGGTTTGATTGATATATATAGTAAAGAAATGATGAAGCAAAAACCTTCTTGTTTCTTCTTTGGTGGCCGGTAGTGACTGTATTTCGGTCCTTGCTCTTACGTGATTTTGATTCTCATAGTTTTAATAGGTTCGGTTTTGGTGCATTTTAGTCCAGTTGATTATAAATATTAATAATGTCTTTGGTTTCAGTTTTTTGGATTAAGTTATTTTTTTAAAATTAAATTTTTTGATTTTCATATTTTTTTTTTGTTTTTAGTGAATATTTTTAAAATTTTAAATATTTTTTATTTTTTTAAATACGCCTTATTTAGATATATCTAAAAAGTAAAAAAAATTGTGAAAAAATATTTTAAAAAATTAATAAATACATAAAAATACAAAAATAGTACTGAATTCTCAATTTTTTTTAATATTTTTGGTATTTAGTGAATTTTTAAAAGATTTTTTCACAATTGTTTTACTTTTTAGATATATTTATGTTAGGTATGTTTAAAAAGTAAAAAAAAAATATTGCTTAAAATATTAAAAAAATTCAGTAAAAATAAAAAAACAAAAAAAAAAAAGAAAGTAAAATTTTTTGAAAAGTGTTTTTGAAAAAGAGGAACCAAGCAAATTTTTTAATAAAAAAAATACATAAATAAGTGACATGTCATATTTTTAATAATAAAATTACAAACTTGTTCAATTCATTGAGGTAATCGCAATTTAGCTAATCATTTTCTAGCAATTAAGAGTCAAAATTAACTCAATTGAAAATGTATAAACAAAAATGACAAAAGAAACAAAATAAAAAAAACTACCAATGTAATTTGTCTTATTTTAAATTCGACAATGCTAGGTAGCTCAAATGACTCAAATCTGTCAAAACGGCGTCGTTTTGACAGATTTTGAGTGTAAAACGACGTCGTTTTGACAGATTTGAGCCATTTGAGCCACAAAATTTTGAGCTACCAAACATTTTCCTTTTAAATTACATATTGAGCTTCTTTTAAACTCTTAATTTGCAGTAACACATACATACCACATAGTCCATTTTCATGTATAATTTATTATTTAGATAGATATTATATTTTTTCCATTGAAACACATATTTTACACTTTTTTATTGAAGTATTTTTTGCATTATCTACTTTAGTTTCGTTCTTTTTAATTTTATACTATTGACAAAAACAAAATTAAAAATTAAAATGCTTATATAACTGTAAAACTTAAAATTAAAATCTTGTTAAAAAAATTATTACTTTTTATTTATCATTAATTAAGTTGAATCCAAACTAACAATTTTTTTGCTTATAAGTTATAAAATGCCTTTCTGAGTGAAACCAGATGAAACTTAAATCTATTTGGCATCCAGATAAAATAGTCATTTTTTTTAGCTAGTGCTTTTTTTAAAATTTGTATGTTTTTTTCTCTTTGGTCGATCTAATGTAGAATAATCTTTAAAAAAAAGAAGAGTTTATTAAACAAAAAAATAAACTATTTACAAAAATTGTTTTCTTTAGTAGAATTTTTTTTTTTAATTTTTTTTTGGTTTGTCTAGTCAAATAGAACTTAAAAATCTAAAAGGGCAAATTACACTAATAGTCCCTATAGTTTGGGACTCGTGTCATTTTACTCCCTGACTTTTCAATTGTGACGCATTTGACCCTGAATTTTGAATCTTGTTTCAAATAAGGACAATTGAACATACTATTGCTTAATTTCAAGGATAAAATCGTCAATTTGATAAAATATAAACTAATTTGATAAAAATAAATGACAAATATTTTAAAATTTTTAAAAATTATTTCTACCCACCAAAGATAAAATTATGTAAAATTGATAAAAATTACATGATTAATTTTTAAAAATTAATTTTACATGATCATCATCCAAATACATAATAAAAATTAATTTGGTAAAAAAATAAATAAATGTCTAAAATATTTATCAATTTTATATAATTTTATCTTTAGTAGGTAGAAATAATTTTTAAAAATTCAAAAAATAATTTTTTGACATTTATTTTTGTCAAATTAATTTATATTTTATCAAATTGACAAATTTGCCCTTGAAAAATCCAATAGTTTCTTCAATTATCCTTATTTGGAACAAGATTCAAAATTCAGGGTCAAATGTGTCACAATTGAAAAGTCAGGGACCAAAGTGACATAAACCCTAAACTATAGGGACCATTGATGTAATTCACCCAATCGAAAATATTTTAAAATATTTTTTACAAAAATTAAGAATTAATTAACTAAAAATCTTATTTGCAAATGTTATAGTAGCTTAAGTCATATCTAAAAATTTTTAAACTAATAAGTTCTATGTAGTAAAACTAAGAATATTATCAGTTTTTTTTAATTTTTTAAATTAAGAATATTATCAATTTTGCATAATAATGTTTCAAATAATTGTTTCATAACTGATAAAAAAACAAAGCATAAGAGATTAAACGCTTTTACTCTTCTACTTATTGATTTGATTCAAATATCTAATAAAATCGAGAAAATTATCAATTTTTTCCAGTTTTAAAACTGAGAACATTATCAGTTTTTTTATTTATTATTATTTTTTTTTAAGTTTTGCATCGTCATGTTCCTTTATAGATACACAATTTTCAGTTTTGCACAAAAAAATAATTCAATTTTTTAAATTTTTTTTTTTGCACATAATGTTTTTTTTAGTCTTTTAAATTTGAAAGTTGATATTTTAAAGTTTTGAAAATTAAAATAATTGTGAAATCATCATATTCCTTTATAGATAATCATAAATGATGAACAATCATTATTTGAATTACAATTCTGACCAGTATTAAAAATTTAATAGAAGTTGAAATTTTAAAAAAATTTAGTTAAGACTTAATAAACTATAAATTTATGTGGGGGCCGAATATTTTATTACATAGGATAGCCGAATATGTTTAAGAAGGAAATTAGATCGTGTACAATACGGCTCCAACCCCGAGGAATAGAGGCCGAATAGCCAGATCGGCCTCTATCAGTTGTAGATAGGGCCGAATTTGAAGATATAGCCGAGTGAGCGATTGTTTATTGGACGAAAGGTGGGCCCAACGATCAACATCAAGAACGACTATAAATATGAGGAGTATCAGCCAAAAGAGGTATGTGAGAACAAATAAAGATAACTTAAGACATAAACAACCAAGAGAGTGAGTACTGACTTATCCGTCGGAGTGCTAATTCTGACACTCCCGACCGGAGTGTTCATTCTTTTTCAGGTGATTAGCTAAGGATCATGAGCGCCCTCCAGGATCTAAAGAGTATTTCCGAACCACTTCTCCACAATTTATAAATTAGAACTTGTGTGTTAATATCCATAAAATTAACAAGAAAATTACTAAAAGAATTAATTCCAAACAAAGCCCCCCTGTTCTATGCGGAGATTTTAGAAACAAGAGCACTCAGACGCCGGAAAGGGAAAATGTGTCTATAGACTCTTATCAATGTTTTGACCAAACAAGGAAAATTCTATTATGGGAAATGTTTGGGCCCTTTTTGGATGATTTCTATATTTCTAAAGTGATCTTGGCCCTAATAATAATAGAGATTTTTTTTTTTTTTTGAGACCCTTACAACTATTGAAGTGATTCACACTACTCACGATGTGGGCCCCACACATACATGAGTGGGTTGCACACATCATGAGTGGTGTGGATCACTTTAGGGGTTGTGGGGGTCTCCAAAAAAAGGAGTCTCACTTATTTTCCATCCTGGCCCTCAATATCTGTGTAGGGCTCACTCAAGTATGTGTGAGATTCACATCATAAGTGATCCAAATTTGTGGACGCTTTGTGGGGGTGGGGGTCTCAATCATCACTCTTCTATTATATGTATATATATATATATATATTGTGTGTGTGTAATTGAGTGCTTTTAGAATATTTGATATAAAATTTAAAATATTTATACATAATACATAATAATACATGTAAATAATGTACAATTAATTTAAACATTATGAAACTTCAGAGGGTAATCTATGTAAATCACAATTGAGCTGAGCTAGATGAAATGGATTGCGCACGTTGGACTGTTCAAATGGGCCAAGGTAACCCCAATAAGTGGCCCATTGTGCGTTGAGCCTATTTTAGACCGGTCAGAGGTGACTGCTGGACCTAGAACTACGTTACCTGGCGAGTCCATAGCAGAACCGAGGTATTTTCCTAGAAGGCTGAGCTATGCGTAGCTCGGTACAACACGGTATGTGTTGGCGTGATTCAGGACAAGATATCTTGGTTTGGCATCAGCAGCCAAACGAAGGGTTTGGCCATCTCATTTTGGTTCGGCTGTAAGTGAAGTTTTATCAAGATAGACACTTTTCACTGGGAGTGTGAGTCCTAGGAGGACTCATATAGGGAGAGTTGGAGTCTTACTAGGATGGTGCCAGATGAAATCTACAAAAGCTCATTGCAGGACCTATGTACAGGTATCACAATTTCTACTCTCAAATACACAGAACTTTTGTATCTATTGTTTATTTGCTGACTGAGGCATCGGAGAGGTTTCCAGCACACACCCGCCGACTAGCTCTTGTTTGTGTTTTCAGGTAGTAAAACGACGACGTTTAGAGGAGTGCAAACCTGATCAACAGGATTATACGAGAAGAATATTTCTGTGTTCGTACAATTAGCATCATCTGTGGGAAGTCACACAAAGAACAAACCTTTTGATTGAGTTTCCACTTTAATTGAATTCTATGGCGCACAATGAAGACTTGTCACACTCTGCTATTGATGGGACAACACCGGAGGGGGGCGGGAGGCACAAAGGCTTACCTTTTATCCCGCCCATGACAGAGTTAGATATCCAGCGACGGAACCTGCTGAAGGACACACGAGAAAGATGGGGCTCCAGTCCTTGTCGCTCCCATAGTCCTAAAAGGCAGAGGCGGATGTTG